GCTTTCCCCCCCCCCCCCGCCTTAACCGCCTGTTGCAATAATAGGACGCCAGGTTCTCGTGTTGTCTTAACGTGGCCACATTTCCATTTGTACCGTATATGGTTGCGGCGGTGCGTATGTCTTCAGGGCACGCGGGGAAGACCCGCCTGTGCGCCTGGGTCGGTGTCAGTCTCCGCAGGCCCATCTCGTTCCCAGGAACATCCAGCGCGCTTTTCCCCCGTGGAGGCTGCGGCTGCTCGCCCTTCTCCCGCCCCTGGGGAGACGCCAGGGCTTGCAAACTCCGAGCAAGAAGCTGGGCAAAGTGCGTGCATATATGTGAGTGTGTGCCTGCGCGCGTCTTTACGAAACGTACGCGCACGGAGTCCGCTCTCCGCTCCCTGGGTGACTCTGGCTCGTGCGCACCTCTCTCGAGCCCCCTTGGGGATGGTGGTGGCTCCAAGGTAACATGAGAGAGCGAGGGGGCGGAAAGTAAAGGAAGAGAAGAGCCATATTTAACTACCCTTCTCCTTGCCTTCCGTGTGACAGACCCGTATGTACCAACTCCTGGGTCTCCTAGGACTGGCGGCTGATTAGGCTGGGCCTTGGGCAGCCGGAGCAGTGGCGGCGGGCAGCGGGAAAGAGTTTCCAAAGAGCCCCAGGGGCGCCCGAGATGGGCACTTGGGAGGAGCTCTGCAGCTTCGAGATGCGGAGGGAGCCACTGCAACTGTTACTCCAAATGCAGGCTTGGTAGAGAGAGTTTAAGGAAGAAGCCTAAATGTCTCCCTTCCTCCTCCTCCTCCTCCTCCTCTCGGTTTCCTTTCCCTTCCTTTTGCTTCGTGCTTTTTTCCTCTGCAGAACTGTTGCTGGGATTTTTCAGCGACTGCTGCACACTTGTCTCTCCTCCCTGTTCCGGAGATAGAGATTTCTGCTCTCCTAGTCACATTTGGCTTTGCTGGTATAAAATGCCTTTTCTGTCACTCGGAGTGTGTAAGTTGAGAGGCAATCTCTGGGCAGTATAAGTTCTAGCTGTCACCCAAGGGTGAAGTTGTCAGAGATTATTTAACCTCACATTGATTCTTGGGAATAATCAGAGGGGGTGGTACACGATCAAATGGCTCCCCCAAATGTGTGAGCAGTTGAAAGGCTGTGAATGTGGGGTGAAGTATGCAAGTCCTTAATTAAACCTACATGCTGAACTAGGGCTGCCCACTTTCGAGGCCACCCCTAGCCATGGAAGCTCCCTGGGTGACTTTGGATCAGTCACTCCTGCTCAGTCCAAGCTACCCCACAGAGTTGTTGTTGTGGGAAAAATTGGAGGAGGAAATTCTGTGTACTCTAGCTGAGTTCCTGGAAAAAAGGCAGAATATACATTCAAAAAAATATGAACAAGGTAAGTAGTTAAAGCAGTGGCTTATTCAGTTCAAATTTAGACCAGCTTCCATGTTGCTTGTGCTGAAGCTGAGATTATAAACTCCTAAGGGTAAGATTCTGCTCACCTGTGATCAGGGGTATACAACTTAGTGTCTTCCAAACCTGTGGGACTTTAATTCCCATCAGTCCCAGCCAACAAGGCCAAAGACAAGGGTGTGTGGGAGTCATCGCCCGTAACTTCTGCAAGACCCTGAGTTGCATAGATGTGCTTGGTGTCCTCTGTGAAATGTAATGCGCACTAGTGGCTCTATAGAAGACTAACAAAAAAGCAAGCAACAAAATAACTGACTATAATGGAGGGAGTCTTCCTCTACACTCAGGTAGTCTCCAGTTTAAGAACGAGTTCTGTTCCCAAGGTTTGTCCTTAAGTTGAATTTGTATGTAAGCTGGAACAGTATTATTGTATAATACTGTATAAGTAGAATTGTGTAATGAACTCAAACCATTGTGTATTTAACACGGATCATTGTGTATTTAACTCAGATTTTGCTATAATAGGCTCTGTTCTTAACTATGGGTTGTCTGTAAACTGAACAGTCTTAATCGAGGGACTAATTTGTATGTAAGCTGGAACAGTATTATTGTATAATACTGTATAAGTAGAATTGTGTAATGAACTCAAACCATTGTGTATTTAACACGGATCATTGTGTATTTAACTCAGATTTTGCTATAATAGGCTCTGTTCTTAACTATGGGTTGTCTGTAAACTGAACAGTCTTAATCGAGGGACTACCTGTATTTTGTCTCTTTGGAGAGAGAATAAAAATAAGTTTGTGTGGCTATTTATGTATGGCATTTTTTGGCCATCTAATAAGCTGAGCTGTCTAAAAATCCTTAATTTTTGTACTAATAATTATTTTACCTATGTAGCACTTTTCCTTTAATTTTATATATATGTATTAATTCTACACTACAGTAATTAATACAACACAAAAATGGTGTCAGGATAAAACCAATGAAGAAACAGCAAAAGTATATAATTTATGCATGACTCATACAGAAATAAATTCATGTGCCATACTGGGTATAAAAGTGAAATATTAGCCATTTTGATTAGTAATCCAGTATATTAAGCTTCCTTTTAATAAATACTATTTTGAAAAATGTAAGCTGCTTATTAGACTTTCAACAGCCATAGAAGGAATTTGTATCTTTTGTTTGGAAATAATTTATACAGTTATTGCATGTTCCTTTCCTATTTACCATTGCGTTTACTTTCCCTTTTTGGGAAGTGAATTACAATTTTGAAAATATTTATTATTACTGTTGAAACTTCAAGTTAGTGCTGAAATATTTTAAGGCCTACAGTCATGTGATGTGAATCTTTTCATGAGTTACTTCTGAGTAGATCTGGGTAAAGATTTGGCTCTTATTAAGACATAATCTTATACTATATACATTTACCAGAGAGTTACTTGCATTGAATTTAGTGGATTATTTTTCCTGCATTATGATTCTAATTGCTTTAGATTTATTTTTATCCCGGATAACCTTGTTTGATGCTCTCTTGTGCCAGAACCTCAGTCATTCTGCATAATGTGTATATTGGCTCAGATATCATAGCTGAGATACCCTTCCATAGAAAGCTAAGAACAGGTCATGGTTAGAATTGTTATTATACATTTTGGATGTGGGTTGATGAAGAATTGACAGGTGGGTTTATTGGACTAGAATTCTTAGAAGAAATTTTGGTTCATCCTATTCTGAATTGAGACCCAGACTTGGCACACAAATGCCCCTGGCCATCTTTTCATTCATACTGGAAGAGAGAGAAGGGGAATGCAACCCTATTGGTACTCTGGATCTCTCATTTGTATTTAACCTCATTAATCACCAAATAATTTGGTGTACTTGAAGAAGCTGGGGACTAGAGATACTGCTTTATTTTTTAATGATAATTTTATTAAAAATTATATTATACAGATAAAACTAATACAGCATACATAAGATTAAAATATATAAAAAGAAAAAAAGAATAAAAAAATAAAAAATGCAAAAGAACAAGAAAAAGAAGAAACCTCCCCCTTCATTCCCAGCAAGTATAATCAACATTAACAACTTATCACCATCTCTTAAAGTAAAACCAACAATCTCTTCATCGCATATCTCATGGCATTCTTATAAACACATCTTTAAAGCCTCATCACTCCATCTTAATCAGCAAAAGTCCATTAAAGGTTATCAGAAATAACATAACTGTTGCAAACTATATTTAATAAACCCACTTTGAATCCTTCCTTTTACATTTATATTTCATTTTCTATTTAAACAAATTGCCTCATTTCATCTCTTCAAATAAACAAGCCTTTAAAACATTGTTATCTGGTCCTGGTCAGCATAAATCCATTAAACATTACCTAAGATAGCAACCCATTTATTTTAGCCTTGATCAAATAAACTGATTTTGTATTCTTTTCTCTTCCCCCAACAATCTTAATACCCTCAAATAATATCCAAACATCTGCTTTCTTTTCATGTTCTCTTTGTCTCTGCTCCCAAAATCATTGGCATCTTTAACAAGCCTCTTTTGTAACCCCAGTATAAATAGGTTATCCACGTCACTGTTTATATTCTCACTGTCTCTTCTCACAAAATAGTTAACAACTTCAACAAGTCCCTTTTGTAAATCCAATATAAAGAGTTATCCACATCACTCTTCTGGTTTAGTATTTGTGTGTCTTTTTTTAATTGTTAAGTCATCAACCTGTTTCATTTGTATATCCACTATTTCATCTTTTTGTATATCCACTATTTCATCTTTTCCCATCTCTTTCTTATAGGCTGTCATTTTTAAGTACACATTCAAATCAATTTCAGTTTTATTCGATAGCACTTGTTCCTCTTTAATGACACCATCTAGTTTTTCTATAACTCTAAAATTATTTTCTGAGCCCAATAGTCATAAATCTCTCTGAAAAAGAGAGAGAAGCTCACTTTTTCCTATTATCTATTTTTTTTTCTAATGATCAAAACCACAAATCATAAGTACATTTTTTCTGTTTCATGCAAAAAGTCTATAAGGGGTTTCCAGTCGGCCATAAATGTAGATATTGTCTTTTCTCTAATCAAGGAAGTCAATTTAACCATCTCTGCAAGTTCCATCATCTTCACCAACCATTTCTCCATTGTAGGTAGTGTCGGACCTTTCAGATTCCTGCTTTTTGTAAACACATTCCACAGCTTGATGCAGTCAACGCAATTGAGGGCCTTTCTATAATCAATGACGTATTGAATTCTTTTTGGTATTCTTTGGCTTTCTCAATTATCTAGTGTGCATTTCCCTTCTCATGTAGTTGTCTAATGTGCATTGGATTATTTTAAGTGTTATATTGCTAGGAGTGTGATAACGCACACACACTGTTAAGTATTAAGTACTCTTTAGTATTGGTATGTAGATTGATCTCTTCCAATCTGTTGGCCACTGTGTTAGTCTCTAGAATTGCTGGCATAGTTTGATTAGAGTATTTACTGGCTCTTCTGTTGCTTGCTATGTTTCTAAAGATATTCTATAAATTCCTGTAGCTTTCTGATTTGGCAGTGACTGGAGTGCTGATCTAACTTCATTGTCTAGTACAAGAGGTTCTTGTAAATAAGACTATTTTCTAAAGTATTTTGAGTATTGACATCTTTAAAGGATGTCAGTATATTCCTTCCATCTTTGTTCTGTCTTTTTTGAATCAGTTACTATCGGTCTGTTGATGTCCTTTAGCATACCAATTCAAGTTTGGAACCTCCTTCTGAGCTTGGAGATCTTTTGGAAGACTTGGCTTGTTTTTCTGGGTCTCTTTCCGTCATCACTGTCTTTACAGATGTCGTCGTAATACAGCTTCTTGTTTCTTCTCACAGCTTTCTGAAATACTTCGCTAAGTTTATTTATTATTTATTTATTAAATCAATTTATATAGCCGTCCATCTCACCACAGGCGACTCTGGGCAGTGTACAACAAAGCTAAAAAAGTTTCTTCATGAGGCCTTTGTCTTTTTTGGCTTAAGCTTCTCTTTTCTTCCTGGCAATTTTTACTCTTTTTTCTGATATCCAGTTTGCTTTCTTCTGTTTCTCAGTCTGGTATCATATTCATCCTTAACACTTTCTTTGACTTTATTCTGTGGTTCTTCTGGTTCCCTGTCAATGAGTTCAGGACCTCAGAGGGATTCCTGATGTTCTCCTTGAAAATGGTGTATATACAGTACTCAATATCATATCAGTTGGCTTTGTTCTTCCACTTTTGCTTGATTTGGAACTTGCACGTGAACAGTTTCTGATATTTTTCATAGTTAGCCCCTGGCCAC